CATACATACATACATACATACATACATACATACATACATACATACATACATACATACACACATACACACATACACACATACATACATACATACATACATACATACATACATACATACATACATACACACACAGACACACACACAGACACACACACACACAACACACACACAACACACAACACACACAACACACACACAACACACACAGATAGACACACAGACACACAGACACACAGACACACACAGACACACACACACGGACACACACACACACACACATTGGCGGTAGAGGTCGCGGCCCCCGGGGCCCGGGCCCCGGTGCGCCGTTGTATGTATATGCTTCTGGACTGCACGTGGGTCCCCCGCAACGAGCGCTCCCACACGTGCCAGTTTAGATGCCGACGGGGGACTCCTTCAAACATCGAGGTGTGCATCCGCCATAGACACCATTTTGGACAGCTGCTCAGGCTCGAGCAACATATATTTGGGCTTATGCACGCTTGGAGGCCCGTTGGCCCACTCCCCTTGAGCACTGCGAGGCTGCACCACGGGAGGAACGGGAGGACGACCCGAGCCACGCCTGTAACACAACTTCTTTCCAGCGCAATTCGTCGTGAAATCACATTTCTTCTTGAGGCAACACCACACCTCATTGCGAGCGATCACCCATAGGTATGGAGTGCAAAATGAAAATTAGCCTGGCGAAGGACCCAACCATACGAAATTGTGGATACAGCAATTGTGAAAACCATCTTCGCCTGCGCTCCCTATGTGGCCACGGCTTCCCGCCGGAGCCCGACATGCTCAGGGACGCGTTTGTGGCCGTCTTCGCGGGCGCCGACGACCACGAGGACGGCGTCCCCCTGACCGAAGAGCAGAAGCAGGAAAGGGTGCTGAGAGCCATGAGGGAGACTGCCATTGGCGCCTCCGGTGGAGCTCCTATGGGGCCACGATCCTCATGAGGGGTGTGCCGAAATGGCCCGAGGCCGCCATGCGAACCCTGCCACTGGGGGCCTTCGGTGGAGCTCCCTATGGGGCCACGATCCTTGTGAGGGGTGTGCCGAAATGGCCCGAGGCCGCCATGCGAACCCTGCCACTGGGGCCTTCGATGGAGCTCCCTATGGGGCCACGATCCTCGTGAGGGGTGTGCCGAAATGGCCCGGGGACGCCATGCGAACGCTGCCACTGGGGCCTTCGGTGGAGCTCCCTTATGGGGCCAGGATCCTCGTGAGGGGTGTGCCGAAATGGCCCGGGGCCGCCATGCGAACGCTGCCACTGGGGCCTTCGGTGGAGCTCCCTATGGGGCCACGGTCCTCGTGAGGGGTGTGCCGAAATGGCCCGGGGCCGCCATGCGAACGCTGCCACTGGGGCCTTCGGTGGAGCTCCCTATGGGGCCAGGATCCTCGTGAGGGGTGTGTCGAAATGGCCCGGGGCCGCCATGCGAACGCTGCCACTGGCGCCTTCGGTGGAGCTCCCTATGGGGCCACGATCCTCGTGAGGGGTGCGCCGAAATGTGGCGGGGCCGCCATGCGAACGCTGCCACTGGGGCTTTCGGCGGAGCTCCCTATGGGGCCAGGATCCTCGTGAGGGGTGCGCCAAAATGGAGCGGGGCCCACATGCGAACGCAGCCACTGGGGCCTTTGGTGGAGCTCCCTATGGGGCCACGATCCTCGTGAGGGGTGTGCCGAAATGGGGCCTGGGGCCCACATGCGAACGCTGCCACTGGAGCCTTCGGTGGAGCTCCCTATGGGGCCACGATCCTCGTGAGGGGTGCGCCAAAATGGGGCGGGGCCACCATGCGAACGCAGCCACTGGAGCCTTCGGTGGAGCTCCCTATGGGGCCACGATCCTCGTGAGAGGTGCGCCAAAATGGGGCGGGGCCCACATGCGAACGCAGCCACTGGGGCCTTCGGTGGAGCTCCCTATGGGGCCAGGATCCTCGTGAGGGGTGTGCCGAAATGGGGCGGGGCCGCCATGCGAACGCTGCCACTGGGGCCTTCGGTGGAGCTTCCTATGGGGCCAGGATCCTCGTGAGGGGTGTGCCGAAATGGCCTGGGGCCGCCATGCGAACGCTGCCACTGGGGCCTTCGGTGGAGCTCCCTATGGGGCCACGATCCTCGTGAGGGGTGTCCCGAAGGGGCCTGGGGCCGCCATGCGAACGCTGCCACTGGGGCCTTCGGTGGAGCTCCCTATGGGGCCACGATCCTCGTGAAGGGTGTGCCGAAATGGGGCGGGGCCACCATGCGAACGCAGCCACTAGAGCCTTCGGTGGAGATCCCTATGGGGCCACGAAGCGCTGTACTGGGTGGGTGAAGCGCAGGGAGGAGGGGGGAGGAGGGGGAGGAGGAGGAGGAGGAGGAGGAGAGGAACGCGGGGCGACGCCTCTTCAAAACGAGGACCCAACACCACAGGATGGTTGGGAACAAACCTGCAGGGCCTCGGGCAGGCTCAAGCAGGGATCGCGCGAGAGAAACAATAGCTCACTGTAATCCACCTCAAGGAATGGATCCCTTGAGCCAAATTGGCTACGGACCTCCACCTCACCCTCCTCCTTCTCCTCCTCCTCTCATATCGTCATCATCGCAGTCCGCATCCTCGTCATCAACGTCATCAGAATCACCATCATCGCCAGCATCATCACCGTCATCAGTATCATCAACGGCATCACCGGTACCGCAACAGTACTCAGTACTAGCACCAGCACCGACACCATCATCCTCATCAGCATCACCATCACAAGCACTAGAAGCATCGTCATCATCACCGTCACCGTCGTCATCATCATCGCCATCATCATCATCACCCTCATCACCAGCATCGCCAGCATCAGCAGCATCATCATCATCATCAGTATCATCGGCATCCTCAACACAAGCAAACAATGTAAGACTATTCGCTTCTATCTGCTCGCGTGCCACTCGCACGTAGATTCCAAACATGCGGTACCCGCCATCTTCGTCTTCGATCGTACCCCCTTGGGGCATATTTTCCTTACGTGCCACTTTTAGCGCAGCCCCTAAAAAGGAGAAGAGAGGGCGGATGGAAGGGGGAGGGAAAGGGATGGAGCACAATATGAATTAGCAGGAGGGGCGCCAGGAACAGAAAACACGTGGCAGAACCAGACGGGCAGATCGGGCGGGCAGACCCTAGCCGGCGGTTCGGGGAGGCGAGCGCAGGCGGCCAGGTCGAGCAGGCGGGTTGCTGAAGCGCGGGTCCTGCAGGAATCGCGAGGAGGCTTCGAGCGATAGCGCGATTCCCAAGTACATCGTGAGAAAGGCCACAGCGAGAGCGTGATTCCTGATTGTCGAGGGCGGGGCGTCTGAATACATTCCACCAGCTTTTTAGGGCGTAGGTGGTCTAGGGTGTTTTGTCTTCCGTCTGCCCCTCTTCCCCGTCGGGGAAAGGTTCGTCATAGTTCCCTTTCAATATACACCACCTCCCCCAGGCGACTGGGAGCCAACCAGGGACAATGCGGGCCCCCCCCCCCGCCATCCCTGGTGAAAAACTATACAAAACACACTCTGCCTCCAAATCCTGAACATGCGCAGCCCACCCGATGCGGCCCCCCCCACCATCCCTGTCAAAAAACCATACAGAGTACACTTGGCGGCGGCGGCGGCGGCGGCTGCGGCGGCTGCGGCGGCGGCAGCGGCTGCGGCGGCTGTGGCGGCGGCGGCGGCGGCGGGGGCGGCGGCGGCGGCGGCGGCGGCGGCGGCGGTGGCGGCGCGGCAGCGGTGGCGGCGGCTGCGGCGGCAGCGCTGCGGCGGCGGCGATTCGGCAGCGGGGGCGGCGGCGGCGGCGGCGTGGCGGCGGCGACTGCGGGCGGCGCGGCGGCGGCGGCGGCGGACAGCGGCAGCGGCGGCGGACAGCGGCGACGGCGGCGGCGGGCGGCGGCGGCGGCGGCGGCGGATTGGCCCCCAGTAGCTGCCCATCCAAAGACGACTGCTGAACATGCTGAGGCTCGGGCCAGGCTCGGGTGCTACGTATGTGTTGGGAGGACAAGTGGGAGTGAGCGAGACACTTGCGGACGGGGAGGGAGTCCTGACCCCTCCCCCTACCCCCTCCCCTGGACCTGGACAGGGCCGGTCGCGAGGTATCACAGCGTCCAAACGGCCTCGGCGAGGAAGCCAACATCATTGGTTCTGCCAAAGTTTTGGCCCCATTTTGGCCTCTTGGGGGGGCACCGCAAATTAAAGCTCCCCTCTTGTTTGGTCGATGTCCTCCAAAATTGCCCACAGATGGCCCCCAAGGCTCCCAAGGGCGCTCCAAGAGAGCCCCAAGAGGTGCTCAGGAGGCCCCAAGAGGTCCCCAAGAGGCCCCCAGGATGCCCCCCAGAGGCTTTGTTTTTTCTCCCCCAAGCCTCCAGCGGCCCCCGCCAAGAGGCCCGTTCGCCGCCGACGGCGGCACGCCTCAGGCCTGACTGGCCTGGTTCAGCTGGTCCTCCAGCTCGAACTCGTACGTTGGCTGGCCCTCCAGCCTCATCTGCACCATCATGTTCACCATGCTCACATAGTGCAACTGGTGCTCCCCCATGCGGAGCTCGCTCTCAAGCCCCCCGCCGCGCAGGCAGGACTGTTCCCTGCTCCAGCGGCTTGCCGTTCTGTGGATTCTTCCCAGCCAGAATCCTGTCTCGCTTCTTCCTCTTTGCGTCGTCCTTTGTGGAGCGCCCACGACGAGCTAGCGGGCCTGGGCATGCCACGCCCAAACCCGCCCTTCGTCTCGCCGAGTGTGCCCCGCACACCACACACGCGACGTACGGTCCATGAACTTCGACACGATGAGCCCTGTCCTGCCCCTCAGGCTCTGCACGATCTTCGTGTTGTACCTCTGGGCGTGCTGCTACTGCTGCTGCTGCAGCTGCCGCCGCGATGGCCACGCTGGCTTCCAGCGACCTGCCAGTCCCCGAGCTGCTCGAGCCCGTCGCCTGCCACCGTGGTCGTACGCATTCCGCTTGCCACAGCTTTATGCGCATCCTCTTGGACGCCGCACGCATGCCACACCTCATGCATACCTGCCACCCACCCGTCTCCACAATATCGTGCTCGGTCAGGGTGAGCAGCGGCGTTGGCCCTCTTCGTCTCGGTACTCCTTTTTCTTTGGGCGGCACGTCTGGCCACGTACCGCCCATCTTTTGGCACCACCATCCTATATTCTGCAGCGCCCAACGCACCCGCCCTGCAAGGTCCTCAAGCGCCTGGTGCTTGCCGTAGTGCGCGTCCTGCTCCGCGCCCGCCTTCGCCAGCAAGTCAACCTCACTGTTGCCCTTCGCAATCTTCAGGTCGTCGCCCTCAAGCAGCTGGATCCTGGCCTTGGACCTGTGGGCCTTCACGTGCTTCACGCATTGTATATCCAGGTCCAGGTCCTTTACCTTGTGCCAAATCCTTCGCCATAGGTCTGCATGCGGTCGCTTCCAGCTCGTGCACCACCGCTCACCTTTCTGCAAACCTTCCAGGCTGCCATTGTGGTCTGTGTACGCACGACCAGGCGGCAGCATCCGCTCCAGCACCTTGAGAAAAGAAAAAAAAAAAACATCTCTGCTCTCTTAACCCTCCCATGGATCGGCAGTGTACAAGGCAACGGGCCCCACATCTGCATCGTCGCCGTGCCATTGTCGGTGGGCGGCATAGCTGCCCAGCCCGTTTGCGCCCAGTCGCTGTACCCGAGCTTTGAGCCATCACAGACGATGCCGCCTGTGAGATAGTCCTCATCACCGTCGACCACCTGCTCGTAGTACTGGTCCTCCGCAATGCCAATGAACTGCCAGTCCGCCTCTGGAGACCTCACCAGCCCCCGCGCCCACAACATGTTGGTGTCCTGCTGCTCGGCTACGTGTTGCCAGTCCGCCTGCGCCTGCAGACGCTGGTCCCTGGGCGCGCTGCACTTGCAGTACCGATGGTGCTCTGTGCCCACCGCCTCACCGCAAGCCATGCAGATGTCCGTGGGCACGATATTACATTTGCAAAGCTTCTCCATAGTCCACGCACCTCCGATGAAGATCTTCTTCGCTGCATTCTTGGCATGCTTCGGGAACTCACGTGCTCGCAACTGCGCCACCGCTGGTGCCACCAAAGGCATTGGGCTCAGGCTTCTGAGCTCCTCTGCCTGCGTCCACTCCTCCCAGAGGGTCGCCTGCACGCCCTTGCGCACCATCGCTGCGATGTCCATAGGGCACACCTCCTGCATGTTCAGCTCGAAGCCCTCCTTCGAGACAAAAGTATGCCACGCAGGCCACGCCCACGTGGCCCTTCTCATGGGCATGATGACTGCCCCTGCTGGCCCCCGCACTCGGGCCCACGCTGGCTTCATGCCGACCTCCTGCTGCTGACGTCCCCACGCCTGCTGCAACATGGTGCCCATGCTGTCCCATTGTCCTGCTCCATCCTCGTCTTGTGCGCTATGCCACACTGCTCGCGCCCACCTTGCGATCGGCGCCTCAATGACCTCGTACGTCGGCTCCTCCTGCGCAACCGCCAGCTGAAGGGTGAGGCTTCGGGCTCCACGACCACCTGGTAGTAATCGTCCTGCCTCACGTCGTAGCTGTCGTCGCTGGTGGTCTGGCATGCCTAAGCACTTACACCCGTGCAAGACCGAGCGCTTTAAGCCACACTTGAACACCAAGCCAACGCCCCTGGTCATCTTGCGCCCGCCCTTCAAGGTGAGCAGCCTCCGACTCCTGGCCTTCATAGTAGCATGCCTCTTGCCGTTCTTAGCCTTCGCCGCCGTACCGTGCGTGACGATGTCAACCCCCAAGTACGGGCAAGCCCTCACCACTGGCAGTCCACGCTCTCGCATCGGCCCTGTCACGGCCTTTCGCGCCCACTTAGTGCTCGCCATTACCGCGCCTTTACCCTTGCTGCCCACCGAGAACTTCAGGCCGATCTTCTCGAAGCCTCTGAAGCAACTGTCGATTGTCTCTCCGAACTCCGTCACAATGTACTGGTGCTGCTGTCGTAACCGCACACACAAATCGTCCACATACATTCTCCAGCGCGCCCTTGGCCTCTCCACCACCAAGCCATCCACCGTGGACTGGATGACCATCTTCAAGAAGCGCACTGAGAACTTGCTACCCGCGACGATGGTGGCCACCGTCTGGGTCCCGCTGGACACCGAGTCACCCACAATGAGGCGCCTGCTCATGGCGAAATATGAGCACACCACAGCCAGCACCCCCGTGTTGAAGTTGAGTTGCTTGCCTGCTTCCCACAATACGTGCAAGCTGACCTTCTCGAAAGCCTTCACCAAGTCCAACACCGCCGTGATCGTAGCCTGCGTCTCCTCGCTCTGCTCATCCGCGTCGTCCATCTCGTGGCTGAGCAACACCTCCCAGGCCGCGTCCTCCGCCGCCTGGCCGTAGCTCGTGCAATCCCAGCTCCTGTAGTTCTGCTTGGCCCACTTGACCATGTACGGCTCCCGCATAATTTCCCACACCCTGATGGCTGTGGGCAGCAAACCGGTGACCCTGTCCGCGGTGAAGGTCTTCGGGATCATGAAGAACAGCACTGTGCCCATATGGATGGGCCAGTACAAGGTCCGTTCCACCTCCATGTAGAAGTCCAACAGCTTGTCGTACGCTTCGTCCGACGCGCCCTGCAGCATGGAGGGATGCCACCTGTCGACACCGACCCCCGTCTTCTTTCTGAAGGTGCGGGCTACCTCCTTGAGCTTGTCCACATCTTGTCACGTGAAAGGCTCGAGCTTGTCACGCTCTTCGCACTCCCACGGTCTTACCTCCTCCTGGATCTGCTCGCCGGCCCTCCAGATCTGTTTCCACTCCCTGAGGGTGTACTCCGCCGCCTCGATGGGGTCTGCCGAGCCCTCCATGGTATCTCCCCTGCGTGGCCTCCATACGGTAGCAGCCTTGCTTAGCTTGTGTAGGCCACCCGCTGCACCTGCTGCCGCCTCCTGCAGCCTGTCTGCCCACCGTGCACGCCTCTCCTTGAAGAGCTTCTGGTCGTACTCCTTCATCTTGGCCTGGCTTTCTTGCATCAATTGCTGCAACTTCGCCTCTTGTAACGCTCCTCGGAGTAACCCAGCAGCCAGCAAGCCGCACCCGGCCTGCCACTTGCCCTGCTCCACAGCGTTTAGGTGCTTCGTCCGCTGGCGCGCGATGATGAACTGGTGCTCATGCGCAGTTGCCTCCCGCTGCCGTTGCCTCTGGATGTCACCTGTTCTCGCCATCTTGAGCCTAGAGTATGCCCCATGCAAGTTCTGCAAAGTCTTTGCCAACCACCTCCACCATACTGCTTCTCTAGCTGCTGGCGGAACGTTGGCACCGCCGAAGTTGAGCGGCTTGATCCTCCAAGTCGGCCCCTCCGCCCGTCCTGCTGCAGGATGGTCCGGTGCCCATACTAGACCTCGTACTGCAAAGGCCTCCTGCTCCAGTGTCTGCACATACTGCTTCCACACCTGGTTGGCCTCCTCCTGTGACCCGAAACTCGCGATGTCCTGGTACCTAGGCGGCGCTGGTGTGCAACCAATGCCCAGCTCTTGCAGAGCCTTCGGTTTCTCCAGCACCCTGACCAAGCGCTCCTTCACCTTTAGCCTGAGAGTGAGCCCCACTGGCTTGTGGGGCGCCGACGGCCACTCCTCCTGCACTCTGACATCCATCACCTGGCTGACCAGGCTGCCCGAGACGATGAAATAGTCGATCTCGCTTGCACCATGCGCATGTCTGCACGTGCCGCACCTGGCTCCTGACGCTACAACTCGCGCCTTGGCCATCTTGACGCTTTCTACCTCCGTCATCTTCTCGGGCGCCACCTGGAAGTCGCCCCCGATGATCCACGGCACTCCAATCGCCTCCATTTGTCCAATCACCTGGTTGATGATCTCCGTGTTCCTGAACGTCAGACCCTCCGCCGTCCACAAGTAGACCGACGCGTAGATGATGCCCTTATCGACCGCTAACCACGCAGCTACAGCTCCCCCTGGACTGTTGCGCGGTGACAGGTCCCACTTCTCCTTGCCATACAGGTAGGTCATGCCTATGCACCTGGGCGCCACCACCGCAACGCCCGCTGAGGTACCTGCTTCTCCACCTGGTCCTATGGTCTGGTTCGCTGCTACGCCGCCGAACTGGTACCCCTGCACCTTCATGCTCTGCGACACCACCGCGATCCTGTCATCCATGAGTCGGTGCTCCTGCACTGCGTAGCACTGCAGCTTGCCCCCTTCAGATCCTTCGATCATCTCCTTGATGGTGCCCCACCCCGAACCGTTGAAGGTCCACAATGTGAGGCTCTCATGTTTGTTCTTGCGCAGCCTGCTAGGATCGCTTGGCCCGCTTGTTATGCTCCGCCAGGCTGACGCACACCTCCATCCAACGCTTTCGCTGTGCTTCGCTGGCGTCCGCGGGAATCCCTCCTGCATGTAGCCACTCTTGTTCTTCAGGTGACAGCTGCGGACCCTGCTCGCGTGCATCTTGCGTTCCTCTGGCTGCACCTGTGCCCCCACTGTTGCCGCCAGCAGGAGCGCCACAAGCCTCCTCAGTGTCCATGCCGTCCTCGTCGTCCTTGGGCTCCTCCTTGACGTTGTCCAGCACTTTGCCGAGCGCAGCGAACAACTGCTCGTACTCCGCCTTGCTGATGCCGCTGCCTTCGACGGCACTCTCGTACTGCTTCTGCATGGCCGTGAGGAAGCCCTTGCCTTTGACGGATACGTCCTGGACCTTAAGCTCCGACTCCTTGGCCCTTGCGACCTCAAGCTGCTCCCTCTTCTTGGTGAGCTTCTCCTGTGCCTCCTGCATGGCCTTCTGGTGCCGCTTGACCTCGTCGATGATTGCCGCCTCCTCCTTCTCCAGCTTCTCTCTGGCCACCCGTGCCAATGTGAGCTGGACCGAGTGCGGCTTCGTGCTTCGCTTGGCATCCTTGGCGCGCATGTAGCGCTCCTGAGCCTGCTGGCACTCGACCGACTGGTCTCCCCACTCGGTCTTGCAAGACTGGGCCCACCTGAAGAGCTTATCCAAGTCCACAGGCTTCTCGTCGTCATCCTCCTGCGTGGCGTGCTGCTGCTTCTTGAGGCCCTGCAGCTCTGCCCGCATGAAGTCCACCTGCTTCTGGAGCGCCGCCCCCCGCTTTGTCGGGCCCTGCAGCACGTCCTTGTACGCGAGCTCTTTGCGCGGTCCAAGGGTCCCACACCCCCGACACTTCTTGCGCGTTGCGTAGTTGTCCGCCGTCCCACAGCTGCAAGACCAGTAGCCGTTGTGCGAGCGCGGCCAGCCCCCAGCCGACATCGCGCGCCCGTCTGCCGACTGGTAAACCGATCTGCCTGCCGCGGTCTAGCGGCATCCCTTTGACCACCAGGGCGAAAGCCCCAAGTGATAGTCATCTTGAGCCAAAATGGCCACGGGGATGCCCCCCAGAGGCTCCAAAGAGACCCCCAAGAGGCCCCAATGGGGCCCCCCAGAGGCACCCAAGACGCCCCAAGAGGCCCCGGCGAGAATGCCACAATCACTGTTCCCAACCATCCTGTGGTGTTGGGTCCTCGTTTTGAAGAGACGGTGCCCCGCGTCCTTCTCTCCTCTCCTCTCCTCCTCCTCCCCCCTCCTCCCTCCTCCCGTCATCATCATCGTCGTCATCATCATCACCATCATCATCGTCATTGTCATCGTCATCATCGTCGTCGCCATCATCGTCATCATCGTCATCATCACCATCATCGCCATCATCATCGCCGTTATCGCCACCATCATCATCATTGTCATCCTCCTCCTCATCATCATCAGCATCGTCATCATCATCATGATCATCATCATCATAATCAGCATCATCCTCCGCATTATCACCACCACCATTACCATCGCCATCATCAGCGTCATCATCATCAGCAGCACGCGTCCCCTGCACCCATTTCGGCACACCCCTCACACGTTTCGTGGCCCCAAAGGGAGCTCCACAGAAGGCCCCAGTGGCTGCGCTCGCATGCGGTTCCACCCCCCTTTTCGGCACACCCCTCACACGTTTCGTGGCCCCACAGGGAGCTCCACCGAACGCCCCAGTGACTGCGCTCGCATGCGGTTCCACCCCCCATTTCGGCACACCCCTCATACGTTTCGTGGCCCCATAGGGAGCTCCACCGAACGCCCCAGTGGCTGCGCTCGCATGCGGTTCCCCCCCCACTTCGGCACACCCCACACTCGTCGTGGCTCCATAGGGAGCTCCACCGAACGCCCCAATGGCGGCGCTCGCAGCGAAGGCCCCAGTGGCTGCGCTCGCATGGGGTTCCACCCCTTTTTTCGGCACGCCCTTCACACGTCTCGTGGCCCCATAGGGAGCTCCACCGAACGCCGCAGTGGCTGCGCTCGCATGCGGTTTCACCCCCCATTTCGGCACACCCCTCACACGTTTCGTGGCTCCATAGGGAGCTCCACCGAAGGCCCCAGTGGCTGCGCTCTCGCACGCGGTTCCCCCGCCCCCCCCCCCCCCCCCCCATTTCTCGCACACCCCTCAGCGTTTCGTGGCCCCATAGGGAGCTCCACCGAAGGCCCCCAGTGGCTGCGTTCGCATGGCGGCCTCGGGCCATTTCGGCACACCCCTCACGAGGATCGTGGCCCCATAGGGAGCTCCACCGAAGGCCCCAGTGGCAGCGTTCGCATGGCGGCCCCTGGCCATTTCGGCACACCCCTCACGAGGATCGTGGCCCCATAGGGAGCTCCAACGAAGGCCCCAGTGGCAGGGTTCGCATGGCGGCCTCGGGCCATTTCGGCACACCTCTCACCGTGGCCCCAAGGGAGCTCCACCGAGGCCCCCGTCTGCGCTCGCATGCGTTCCCCCCCCCCCCCCCATTTCGGCACACCCCTCACACGTTTCGTGGCCCCATAGGGAGCTCCACCGAAGGCCCCAGTGCTGCGCTCGCATGCGGTTTTCCACCCCCAATTCTGGCACACCCCTCACACGTTTCGTGGCCCCAAAAGGGGCTCCACCGAAGGCCCCAGTGGCTGCGCTCGCATGCGGTTCCACCCCTCATTCTGGCACACCCCTCACGCGTTTCGTGGCTCCGCAGGGGGCTCCACCGAACTCCCCACTGCTGCGCTCGCCGGTTCCACCCCCCCATTCGCACGACCCCTCACACGCTCCGTGGCCCCATAGGGAGCTCCACCGAAGGCCCCAGTGGCTGCGCTCGCATGCGGTTCCCCCCCCCCCCCCCCCCCCCATTTCGGCACACCCTTCACTCGTTTCGTGGCCCCATAGGGAGCTCCACCGAAGGCCTCAGTGGCTGCGCTCGCATGCGGTTCCACCCCTCTTTTCGGCACACCCCTCACACGCTTCGTGGCCCCACAGGGAGCTCCACCGAACGCCCCAGTGGCTGCGCTCGCATGCGGTCCCACCACCCTTTTCGGCACACCCCTCACACGCTTCGTGGCCCCATAGGGAGCTCCACCGAAGGCTCCAGTGGCTGCGCTCGCATGCGGTTCCACCCCTAATTCTGGCACGCCCCTCGCACGTTTCGTGGCCCCATAGGGGGCTCCACCGAAGGCCCCAATGGCTGCGCCCGCATGCGGTTCCACCCCTCATTCTAGCACGCCCCTCACACGCTTCGTGGCCCCATAGGGGGCTCCACCGAACGCCCCAGTGGCTGCGCTCGCATGCGGTTCCACCTCCCTTTTCGGCACACCCCTCACACGCTTCGTGGCCCCATAGGCGGCGCCGCCCCATTTCGGCACACCCCTCACACGTTCCGTGGCCCCACAGGGGGCTCCACCTAAGGTCCCCGTGGCGCAATGCGCATGGCGCCGCCGCCCCATTTTGGCACACCCCTCACACGTTCTGTGGCCCCACAGGGAGCTCCATCTCAGGTCCAACTGGCGCAACTCGCATGGCGCCGCCGCCCCATTTTGGCACACCCCTCGCACGTTCCGTGGCCCCACAGGGAGCTCCATCTCAGGTCTATGTGGCGCAACTCGCATGGCGCCGCCGCCCCATTTTGGCACACCCCTCACACGTTTCGTGGTCCCATAGGGAGGGAGGAGGAGAAGGAGGAGGAGGAGGAGGAGGAGGAGGAAGGAAGAGGAGGAGAGGAGGAGGAGGAGGAAGATGAGGAGGCGCAGGAGGAGGAGGAAGGAGGAGGAGGAGGAGGAGGAGGAGGAGGAGGAGCAGGAGGAGGAAGGAGGACCAAGGATGCCTCTTGGGCGGTCCTGAGACCATCTTGGGCCATCTTGGGGCTGGCTTGGGCCCGCTGGAGCGGATGGGAGTTCATGGTGAGTTTTTCGGGTGCGTAGAAGGACAAGACCATCGCAAAATTCCCAACCATCCTGTGGTGTTGGGTCCTCGTTTTGAAGAGACGGCGCCCCGCGTTCCTCCTCCTCTCCTCTCCTCTCCTTCCTCCTCCTCTCTCCCCTCCTCCTTCCTCCCACCATCATCTTCACCTCTCACACGTTTCGTGGCCCAATACGGAGCTCCACCTAAGGTCCCAGTGGCGCAGCCCGCATGCGGTACGCGCCCAATTTTGGCACACCCCTCACACGTTTCGTGGCCCCATAGGGAGCTCCATCCAAGGTCCCAGTGGCCCAGCCCGCATGCGGTACGCGCCCAATTTTGGCACACCCCTTACACGTTTCGTGGCCCCATAGAGAGCTCCACCTTAGGCCACAGTGGCGCAGCCCGCATGCGGTACGCGCCAAATTTTGGCACACCTCTCACACGTGTCGTGGCCCAATACGGAGCTCCACCCAAGGTTTCAGTGGCACAACCCGCATGCGGTACGCGCCCAACTTTGGCACACCCCTTACACGTTTCGTGGCCCCAAAGGGAGCTCCAGCTATGGTCCCAGTGGCGCAGCCCGCATGCGGTACGCGCCCAATTTTGGCACACCCCTCACACGTTTCGCGGCCCCATAGGGAGCTCCACCCAAGATCCCAATGGCGCAGCCCGCATGCGGTACGCGCCCAATTTTGGCACACCCCTCACACGTTTCGTGGCCCCATACGGAGCTCCAACGTAAGCTCCAGTGGCGCAGCCCGCATGCGGTACGCGCCCAATTTTGGCACACCCCTCACACGCTTCGTGGCCCCATAGGGGGCTCCATCCAAGGTCCCAGTGGCCCAGCCCGCATGCGGTACGCGCCCAATTTTGGCACACCCCTTACACGTTTCGTGGCCCCATAGAGAGCTCCACCCAAGGTCCCAGTGGCGCAGCCCGCATGCGGTACGCGCCCAATGCTGGCACACCCCTCACACGTTTCGCGGCCCCATCGGGAGCTCCACCCAAGATCCCATTGGCGCAGCCCGCATGCGGTACGCGCCCCATTTCGGCACACCCCTCACACGTTTCGTGGCCCCATACGGAGCGCGGGCGAAGATGGTATTCACAATTGCGGCATTCACAACTGCATATGGTTGGGTCCTTCGTCAGGCTATTTTTTTACTACGGTTTTGGCCACATGTTGGCCTCCTGGGGGGGGGGGGGAGACACTGATTCAGATTGCTCCAAGAGCGCCTGGTAGAGCCCAAGATGACCTCCAAAATGGCTCAAGATGGCTCCCAAGATGCTCCAAGAGGCCTCAAGACCGCTCCTGGACGGCTCCAAGTGGTCAAAGGGCTCCCCCAGGAGGCACTGAAGAAGACAACATCTTTCCACCACCTTGGGGAAACCAATGTTTTGTGCTTTCTCTCCTTTTCGCTTCCGATGGCCATCCGAGGCCTCAAGATGGCTCCAAGATGGGCCAAGAGGTCCAAAGAAAGGCTCAAGAGCGCCCCAAGACGGCCCGAAGAGCGCCCAAGAGCGCCCAAAGAGGCGACTTCTGGAGATCCCGAGGTTCAACGCTAATCAATGCTCCCCCCTTGTTTGATCGATGTCCTCAAAGATGGCCCCAAGAGCGCTCCCAAGGCTCCCAAGAGCGCCCCGAGAGGCGCCCAGGATGCCCCAAGAGGCGCCCAAGTGGCCTCCAAGAGGCTTCCAAGAGACCCCCAAGAGGCCCCAAAACGGCCCCAAGAGCGCCCAAGGGTGTCCCAAGGGCGCTCCAAGAGGGATCCTTCATCTGCGTGCTGCCCACTTCTCTGATCGAGGCAAATCCTCTGGGCATCGTATCTGGGTGGGCTGGTGGGGTTACTTTTTTTTGATCGCGACCGCGGCGAGAGATCGGGCGGATGTGTGCGATTGTGGACTAGCTTGTGAGGAGGCATCATCACCAGAGCCGTTGTTGTTGTAAACAGAGGGCCAGGGGCACAGTTTGGTGGCACCCAACTTCCCCTTGTTAAAAAAGCGTGCGAGCCCCGGATGGAGCACCTTAATTGAA